TACTCACTTTTATTCCCTCACTACCTAGTGCAGAGCATAGCACCACAGTAGGTGCTTAATAAATGTTTAAACTCTTAAAAAATAATTACTTGTTTAATTTGCTCTCAGGAGCCTCCAGAGAGGCCAATGACTTTAGCATATAATGTTTTGTATGTGCTTCCCGCCAGTCCTAATGGGCTGCCTTTGCAGGCCAGTGACAAGCTGTGTCATGTAAACACAACTGAAAGAAGCACTGTGAAGTGTGGCTGATTGACTGAATTCGGGCTGTCACGGTGGCTAAGCATTTAACACAAAGAGATGTGGCTCTCCAGGTAGAAACAAAGCCCGGGAGAAGTTTTAGAGGAAAGAGCAAGGCAGCTCATCTAAGGAAGGGTGGAATCACTTATTCCTTAGGGAAAAGTCTGACTTGGTTTCTACTCTGTGCACAGCCCTGTGCCAGGGAACGTTGTAGCTGTGAAGGCAACTGGGTTTCTGCTCTGAGAGTTTAAAGTCTGGTAGGACTGAGGACAGGCCCACCAATAACCCCAGAACAAAGGCAAGATTGACCAGTACTGAAAGACGTGCATAGACAAAGGGTGGGAAGCACCCCAGGAGAAGGGGGTCTCTGGAGGATTAGGGGAGGCTTCATGGTGGGAGGGCAGTAGTATTTGAGCTAATTTACTAAACTTTCTTCCTGAATAGGATGAGAGTTGTAATAGCTCCCAACTGGTCTCCCTGCTTCCCCCTCTCAGCTTTCAGTCCCTTCTCATCACTATAGCTGGAGTTATGCTCTTGAAATGTAGGTTAGATTATGTCACTTCTCTGCTCAAAATTCTGCAACAGTTCCCATTTCATTCAGAGTAAAAATGCTCCTGTTCATTCAGAGTGGGGAAAAAAAGCCCTAACAGTGGCCTCCAAGGCCTTTCGTGATCTGTGCCACCCTCACTCCTCCAGCATCAGTCCTCTGCTCTCACTCACTCATCTGCTGCCAGCCACACTGGAGATTTTGCTGTTCCTTGAAGATGCCAGGCATGCTCCCACCTCAGGCTGTTCCCTCTGCCTGCCACGCCCTTTCCATGGCTCATTTCCTCCCTTCCAAGTCTCTACTCAGATGTCACATCAGTGTGAGGCCTGACATGACCTATTTAAAGTTGTAACCCCTACATCCTCGTGCCTTACCCCTCTTTTGAAAGTTATGTTTCCCCATGTCATTTTTTACATCTGGCATACTCTATATTTCACTTTTTGTTTACTGTCTGTTTTCCCCCAATAGGTTATAAACTCCATGAAAGCACTTTAAAGGGACTGTATCCCTAATGCCTAGAATAGTGCCTTGTATTAGGTGCTCTGTAGTATTTGTTGAATGAATGAATGAGTGAAGGCAGTAATACCTGTTTGAGGACATCTACAGGAAGGGCTCCTGGTGGAGTTCCTAAAAAATGGTTGCCTGCAGAATCAGTTGCAAGGACCCATCTCTGAACTGCAGAGCTGGGGACTCTGCTGGGGGTGGCTGGTCAAGTGAGAAAGAAGTGGCCCTAGACTGAGAGAAAGACTGGCCACTGAGAATTGTCTGCTGGGTCCAGATATCCCAAGGAGGGATCAGTACTCTCTTGTCTCTTTTCCCTACCTTTGCCATACTTGTTCTCCACAGTCAGCCAAGCACCTTCTCAGGCAAACCCCACCCAGCCTCAGTTGTGCCCTTCTTTAAGCTGTTCTCAAACTCTAAAGGGCCCCTCTCCCTTTGCAGGTTGGCCGAGGTCCTTAAACGAGCACTTTGCTGCCTCCTTGTGGCTTCTGCAGGAAAAGAACTCTCTTCCAGAAGTAAGGAAAGAGGCCTACACAGGGACTCTTAGAATGGGGTTGTGGGAGAGGAAACCTGAATCTTCTTGACCCCATGGTGACCCTGAATTATTGGTAACTGCCCCCAACCCCTGCCCAGACATTACTGCCAATGGCAGTGACCATCTCCTCAGCAAAGCTGTGACAGGTGTGCCAGCTGGATTCTGATTTTGCTTGTTCCAGGATGATCACCTTTGAGGAAAGGATTTGGGGCAAGAGTTAGATTCCCAGGGCCTACCTGGAGGGGTACTGTGGCCAGTTGACTAATATATCTAGCCTCTACCTGCTCTGCGTCCTTCCAAGTCACAGCCAATATAAGTAGTCTTTGAGGGGTGGTGCTGCTCAGTTGCAGCCATTGTTTTTGCAGGGAACAGAAACCTGCCTAAGCTTAGTCCCCAAATGGTAAATGTCCTAGAATACTACTGGGTTATCTTGTGCATACAAGGATACAGCAGAGCTTCAGGAACCATCTGGCTGGCATTTTCTGATAAAACTGCTTTCTTACTTTTTGATGTATTTCTTCTTTCTACCTGATTTCAAGTTGTTCTTTTATCTTTGGTTTCAGCAGTTTGACTATGATATGCTCAGGTATGTTTTCATTGATATTTATCCTATTTGGGGATCTCTGAGCTTCTTGGGTCTGTGCTTTGTTGTCTTTCATTAATTTGGGAAATTCTCAGTGATTATCTCTTCAAATATTTCTTCTGCCCCATTCTGTCTTCCTTCTTCTGGGACTTCAATTACAAGTGTGTTTGATCACTTGTCATTGCCCCACGCATCTTGATGCTTAGTTTTGTGTTTGCTCAATTGTTTGTTTGCTTCTCCTTTGTATATTACAGTTTGGTTAATTTCCATTAACCTAGCTTCAAGGTCATAGATTTTTTTCCCTCTGCTTTTGTCCAGTTTGTTCATAAACTTGTCAAAGGAATTCTTCATCTCTGATTTTAAGGTTTTTACTTCCAGCATTTCCATTTTTCCACTTCTTTTACAATTTCTTATTCTCTGCTCAAATTCCCCATCTGTTCATGTGTTTTCCACCCTTTATACTAGACTAGATCACTTAATGTATAAAATTTAGCTATTTCAAAGTCCCCAATTGATAGCCACCCCTTAGCCATGTTCATATTCTCTTTCTGAGAAGATGGCTCCTCCACAGTCACGGAGTCATGTTCATCCTTTTTCTGGCTTCTTCCAAGTCGGACTCCTCAGTACATGGAATGCACCAGACACTGTATGGCTTTCCCCTCCCTAGCTCTTTGGCTGGGTAATTTTCAAAAGGTTTTTGTCCCTTCCACTTCACCAATGTCTCCTTGAAGGTCACAGTTAGGGATAGACCCTTCCCTCATGTCCCCTTCCACATTAATGTTGGTTCCTCGTCTTGGAGGTCCCTGAGGCCATGGGCCATGCAAGTAGAGCTATGGCCAACAGCCAAATCTGGCTTGAAGAAATATTCTGTGAAGTATTCCTCTCCCTGCCCTGGTTTCCCTGAGTTTTTTGATGGTGGAGGCAGTATCTTGTTTGACCACCAACTTGGCTCTGGAAAAAAAGAGACTTTATGTATAGTATCAAAGAACCTTATCACTAGAAAAACACCATGTATATCTGTATATCTCCTGGCTTTCAACTCTCTTGGCTTCACAGATTGGTCCATCCAGGCCTTCTTTGCCTTCAGGGAGATAAAACTGTGGGCAAAGCAGGAGAAGAATCTGTCAGAAGCTCTGATTGCCTGCCAGAAAGCTTGCTAGAGGACACCCAGGAAGTCAAAGTCCTCCAACACTAGAGCAGGTTTAGCCACTAGGTGTCTCAAGCACAGTGCCAAGAGCCTATGAAAACATAATGAAACCTTTAAAAATGTCACTGGCATCAAAATACAAAGCGTAAAAAATCATGTAATGAAATATTTATAAAACACAATGTTGTCAGTTTCATTACACTGTCAAATCTAATATTCAAAATATTCTCATTACATTTACAGAATTTGTTAGATTACATCTCTATGCATGAAGATTGCTGAGAAGTCACAGCCAACTGTGCATTCAAAAAAGTTACTCATAGTTGATTTCCAAAGCAAAGTTATAAAAATCCTCTTCAATTATTTAAAGCAATACATTTAGTGTGAGGACATTTTATTATGTCAGAAATGATTGGGGTGAGACCTCCAAAAAGAGTAAGCATGGGACTTGAGAGACTAGAAACCTGTGGCCTTCAGTGCCACGGCTGTCCCGTGTGACCTTTATCAGGAATGCCTCTCACCTTCCTCCCCCTATCAGGCTTCCTTGCAGTATGTTGAGTTATGGCTCAGAAATCAACTGGTACTCCAACATTGCCCAATGCCCAGCTGTTCCCATCCCATATCCTCCTCTTCCTTCCAGTCTTCAGGTGCACGTAAGGATAGGCACCATTCCTGAGAAACAGAATCACTGGGCTGCAGGTTCTCTGAGGACAGGGTCATTTCCTGGTTCCTGGGCCAAGTCTGGTTGGGTGAGTGGAGGAGGGGGAGAGTGGAGGTTGAGTGGGAGACAAGGCAGATGGCTGTGTGCGAGGGGGAGTGAGGGTGCCGTGGTGCCCGCTACCTGAATGAACTCTAAGAGTAGTGTCAACTGAATTGACAATTGCCAGGATGGCCTCCTTGGCCGACACCATCTCAATTTGGAAACTGTTTCCAATTCTTCCACTTCAGTCCTCACTCCTCAGAGACGCCTTTGCCTCTGAGCCAGAGATTTGGCTCTGATTTGTACTCGGTATCTCCTTTTGTTCTCATCCTCTGAGCTTTTGTGCTGATCTCAACATATCAGTTACTTATTTACCCATGTTCCTGGTTAGCTATAAAGAGTGACTGACCACTACTCTGTGCCAGGCACTAATCATGGCTGTCTTGGCTTGTTGGCTCCCAAAGGGCAGACAACACTGGAGAATCCTGATTATTATCCAGGTAGTGGCTAGGTGGTCATGGATCTGGCTCCAAAAATGAGTTGGGGAGCAATGAGACAGAAAACTTAAAAAATAAACACACCTTTATTAAAAATGTACAGTGTGGGGACTGGAGGAAAGTAGTGTTTCTCAAAGTCCTAAGAGTACTTAGCAATACCCAGAGTGTTTGTTTAAAAACACCAGCTGGGAACCTGCAGTTGGAACAAATTCCTATGTGACTTTGAGGCATTGTAATGTTTGAGGATCACTGGCTAAGCAATGGACTGGGGACTGCAATTTTCTTGAACCTTCTGGCTTTTTAGGGCTCCAGGGAAGGACTCACTTGACTTTTTACGAATAAGTTCAGCTGATTGATCTGGAGGTTCTTGGCATTCCCTTTTCTGGGTTGCTGAGGCAGTGAAAGAGTTTGTAGTTATGGGTCAGGGCGCAGCTGAGATGAGGCCGCAGGATGTGAGTGCCCACCCAGCCCACCCAAGGGCTTCCCTGTTCATCGCTTGGGAAGTAGTCTGGGGCTGGGACCAGACTTGACCCAGACATGGAGCTGCTTAACACAACATTTCTGCTCCATCCCGGGGGCTCTGCTGCTCTTCCCATGAATCTGCCTCCTCTCATGTCACAGGATGCTTCCTCTTCCCTCCCCACCTTCTTCCCTGCTCCTTCCTACCCTTCCATGTTTCTTCCTTTCCACCTCCATCTAATCTCCTTTCCAGAAACCAAGTTATAAGCCCTCTCCTCTGTCTGCAGCAAACGGGACGTCTGTGGAGCCTATACTTGCCACATCTCAGCACACGCACATGAACCACTGTGTGCGTCTGCTGTGGGGGAGTAGCCCTGAGCAGGAAGGGCAGGCCAGGGAGGGGGTAAAGATTCTTCTCCAGCTGTAGACAGCATCTGGTGTGTGCAGGCACACAGCTATCTTACCTGTCAGACAGCCAGCCTAGGGTAGACACTTGTAAGATGAAGTAGAAAGAGACGTTGGAGAAGGTGATTTTTCAGGGACATGGTCTTCCTGGTGTTCCAAACCACAGCGGGGAGATGAACAGCCCTTCCCCACATGCTGGGAGGACACTCCAGCATGCCTGCAGATGAGAGGCTGTCGACACCACATGGGGCAGGCGGTGTAAGGTCAGTCCTACTTAGGAAGCTCAGCAGTGCTGTGAACTGGACAGCACAGCTGGGAAAGCTGGTGAGGTGGGCAGGATCACAAAGAGGCGAGTGACCTGGAGCCACACAGCAGGTGGACCTGAGGAGTCAGGGTGGGCCAGGGGCAGGCAACCAAAAAGAAGATGCACTTTTGCGACTGGATACAGGGTGTATCTCCAGAGGGGCACTTGCATGGAGCACTCCACAGAGAAAGTGGCACAGCCCACTCCTCAGGTGGCAGTAGCCTGGGCCACAGCAGAGAGGGGAGCAGGCCACAGTAACAGGACCCCAAGACAACACAGGGAGCTTACACACAGAAATGTCGAGGATGCAGATAAAGGAGAGAGAAGTAGGGCTTTGCCTCTATGCCTGGTGGTGCGATAAACTGAATAAACTTGTACAGAGTTTGAGAAAGAGGAATAAATTGTATGCACCTACATTCCCCTGGAAAGGGGAAGCTGTCTTTGCTGGGAACAGTATTTTGCTATGTGTTTAAGCCTGAAGCTGAGATGGCAGTAGAGGCTTGGGTGTAGGTAGAATAACTCTGCATGAGGAAGGAAGGTTTTGAATTTTGCATGTTATACCAAAGGGAGAGGGGAAGAAAGGAGGCTGCTGTTTGATGCTGCTCACTGGGAATCCCTTTCCCCATCATCCCTCTACTTTTTCAGTTACTAACATCATGAAATGCTTGAGGTCAGGTAGAGTGTGTACCCTTGATATTTATGTGTGTGGGAAGAACAAGGGAGTTGGGGCCTCAGATTCAGACAGATGCTGAGCAGAGCCCAGACACTGGTAGAGATGCAGAGGGAGAAGAGGGGCTCAGAAAGGAGAAGCACCACTGTGGGGCAGTGGTGGGAGGTGTGGAGAAGTTCAGCCAAATCTCGGTGCAGAGAGCCCCAGTGACTCTTGGGTTACTGGGTTCTGCCACAGTGTTCTTTTGGTTATTTTCAATTGATTTTGTTTGCTATATCCCAATCAACTACCACCACCACCACCACCACCATCTCACACACACACACACACACACACAAATACACAAAGCCCTTGGGAAATTCTCCAGGAATTGAAAACAGGTATCTGTGTACTGAGTGGGCTGCTGTCCAGCTGAGACTCCCAGGCCCACTTCAGAGCAGAAGCACAGCCAAGGCCCAGCCTTCCAGGATGCTGCCATGCCACCCTGTCTTACCCGGGTCCCTGTCTGGAGAACGGGGGCAGCACCAGCGTCTCACAGCCTTGGTTCTGCTTAGGTCTAGACTGGCAGGCATCAGCGCCCTCTCCCTGTTCTCTCTCCACAGATCTCTGATTGGAGCAGGATCAGGGCCACAAAAGGCAGCTGGGATTCAAGTGACATTTTCAAGCCAAGAGAGGGAAAGGAGAGTTGAGCCTTCCTAATCAGTAAAGCCTCTTGTTGGCCCACTGACTCCTACCTCACTCCCACAGCTGCCTTCACAGGAACAGTTCTTAAAAGACAGGAAGTAAGAATGACAAAAAGACAGGCCCGAGGCCTGAGTCTCAGGCGTATTGTGTAGTTCTTGGTCTCCCTCATCTTTCCTTGAGAACAACCTCCATGCCTAGGGCAAGATAAGCCTTTTGGGCAATTCATTTGCAGGTCAGGAAATCAGTGGGAAGGACAGACTTCTGTAGTGTGATCTTCTAAGACACTAAGTCCTTTAAGAGAGCTAGAATGACGGCCCAAGCTGATGGCTGATGAGGCAGGAAGGCATCTCTCTGATGGTACAATAAATGAGGTCGTTATTAATGTTTGGAGAGAGATTACTTTGGCGGTTGGATAGAGACAGTGTGAACTCTGGCCCCTGCCCTTGGTGGGCAGGTCTCCCTGAATCCAGATTAACCATCCAGGCTTGTGCCTTACCGGGCCTTGAGGGACATCAAGCTTTTGTGGTAGAAGGAATGCACATCCAATGTGAACTGCCGGGGAATATCCGGGCATCCCCCTAGATGGTCCCAGAGCAGGCTGGTGGGGGTCTTCTCTTCTATTGGGTGACTGGAGGAGGCCACATCCGCCTTCCAGACGGCGTCCATCTGATTCCCCTGTTGGCTGGGTGTGAGGGTTGCAAGTGTTAAAAGAGACAAAGAGTTAGACATACAGAGACTGAGAAGCAACAAGCTCTCCAGGGCCATGAGGCCCAAGACACTGGGCCTGTTTTTCTTCCCTTCTCAAATACTTGTAGCCACCCTCCTTGTCCACTCTCTTCCCCTTAACATTTAGCTCAGCTCCCTGGGGTTCCTCGGGGTGACTAGCTGCTGGAGAGGCACTAGGATAGCCCCTGTTCTTCCAGGTACTTGCCCTGGGGTTGCAGCCCTGACCGGCCATACTAGGGGGTGTGTGCATGTGGGTCTTCTTACCGCCCAAAGGCTCACAGCATCCCGTTTTGAGCCTGGGGCTCACATGGCAGGATCAGGCTTTGTTTATATGGACAGTCCGATGGCAGATTCTGGACCAATGCTCAGGGTAGAAATAGTTTGTAAGTTCTCAGCTGTGGGTCCTCAGTGGTTCAGTTGCATAGCTTGAAATATACTTGGTCAGGCTGCCCACACCCCCGCCCAGTCTGGGCCAACGGCCAGGGCTAGGCAGGGCAGGCCTTATAGCTCAAGGGGTGAGCTTGCCTGTCTGTGCCTTCCCTGAGCTGCCAGCCTTCCAAGTCCAGCCACCCCTGCTCCCTGCCTCCCCAGCTCTGCTGCACCTACCAGGCCATCCCCAGGGGCATAATGCATTCCTGGTACTTGGACAGGACATGCGTCTAGATTGGGTGCGCTGGAGTAAGGGTGGGGGCGGCTTGCTTTTCCTTGACTTTGGGGATATGAGCACAGGGGTGTGCAGGTGAATGTTCCACTCCAGCTGGAGCTAGAGGAATCAGCCGAGAGGCATCAGGGAGATGGGCAGGAGGGGGCACTGCCTGACTCAGAGCTGCAGAGAGGGTAAGAATAAGACCCAAGAATCCCTCCACTAAAGACCGTAAGGCCCCAGGGGATCAAGTTCCTAGAAAGTCCTTGAATTATTATTTGCTTGGTTAGTTCCTTTTTTCTCTTTCGTTGTGAAGAATCTGGACAATGGGCAAAACAGCAAGGGAAAAAACTAAAGGAATCTAGAGCAGCTGGAACTCATGAGAGCTCTTGCCGGGGCCATAACACGGACCAGGTTGTGGCTGGAATGCTCTGGGTATCTTCAACCAGTGTTTGCCCTGGCGCTGGGCAAGGAGCTGGGGAACCCTCACTGCCACCCACCCAAAGAGTTGTCGTATGGTCCCTTTCCTTTGCAACCTGAGAACAAATTTACCAAGTCACGACACCTACAGGAGAGGATCAGGACTAATATAAGATAACAGGAAACTGAGCTAGGAGATACCTTCATGGTCAGAACTTACACTGAGTCCCTCAGCACACCTCTTCCCTCAGATTCAGGCTACTGCTGCTCAGGACTGGGGGGTTACCTCCTGAGCCAACCCTAGGGGAGATCCCAGCAGCTTAAATCACTGCTGTGGGACTCTCCAATCCCAGCAGGCTATCGGCTAGCTACCTGAGGACCATCTTAGCACTTGCTGCTTCTCTGACCCTGGCAGCAGAAGAAAGAGTAGAAAAAGCTGAAGCCAGCCCTCAGTAAAAACAGGTCAAACCCAACAGATCGGAACACAGAAAGACCTTTTCCCTCAGCACCAAACCTAGAAGGCAGTCACCAGTGCCTTCAAAATCACACAGGAAAATGAATTCTAACCTCGACTTCCATATTCAGGCAACTGTCAGTTTAAGGGTGAGAGCAGATACTAAAAAGACATTTTCAGACAATCAGGGCCTCAGTGATTTTACCTGCCAGGAAACTTTTGTGAGAAAGTGACTGAAGGAGGTGTTCAATTAAACCAGGGGAGACTTTGCATCTAGAAAACAGGGGGGCTGTCTCCAGAGAGAAGCCAAGTGAATCCCCAGCAGGAGGGATTAGAGAACAGCTGTGACTGAGCCTGAAGAACCACCAGATCTGATGGGGGCAGGAGGAACCCACAGGCAAGAGGGGACCTGAGCACCAAGTCGGGCCTGGAGGGTCCAGCTACTCTACATTCCACAAGATCTTTCTTCTGCTTTCTTTCAGGGTCCCTCTCTCTTGTTCTCCCCATCTGTGGGGATTGAAAAGCTGCCCTTCCTTGAACTCAGGCTACTCCCTGTCATTTCCTCTTCCTGGTTCAGAGGCTTTAACCTGCTCTCTTATTTCCTACCTGCTCCCCTGCCCCCTGCCACATCTCAATCCCCACCGGCTCATCCCTGACTGGCAGTGTTGGCCCCTGAGAGGGTCACTGGCCAGGAGCCCACCTTGGGGAACATGGCCACCATGCTGCTCAGGCGCTCTCACTGCTTCTCCTTCAGGCCTTTCTGCCTGTCTGTCCAGGCCTACAGCCAGAGGTTCTGCAGGTAGTCGATGTTTTCCAGGAAGATGTAGAGGTTCTGGGCCTTGTAGGCAGCCCCTGTTTCTCGCATGACTTATACATGACTGATCACTTCTTGTCTGGGAAGAGAGGGAAGTGATTTAGTGGGTGAAGGGGTCTCCTCCTCCCAATAAGTCTTTAACCAGAGATGACTCTGTAATTCCTGGGAGCAAGAAGAGGCAGGAAGGTAGGTGAGAGCTGGGGAAAACAGTGGAGAAGTGAGAAGTGGTGTCAGGTGAGGAGCCTCAGGGCTGGGCTGGGAACAAGAGAAAGTAAGGCAAATGGGGGAGCACATCGGGCTTTGTGGGAACCCAGCAAATGCAGGTTATGAACAGGGCAGCAGGAAGAGAGGAAGAAATAAGTAAGGAGGCTTAAAGGAAAAACCCACCAAGGGAGGGCAATGTGTAATGCCCCACCTCGCACACCTTCAGGGTTGCCCAAGGCCCCAAGGTCAGGCAGCCTTTGCTGGTTCCCTCCCTTAGGGGGACCTCGTCCAGGCCTGGGCTGATTCTCCCTGTTCCCCCTTGCTGCATGCTCCTCCTTCCTGTTGGGTTTTGGATCTGCCCACACACTGCAATGGGTGTGGGTAGGTGCCAGGTGGGTGCCAGGGAGGACCTACTGGAGGTTCCAGAAGCGTCTGTAGAGGATGTACTTATAGCACAGGCACGGCAGTCTGAGTGTGTTAAGGGCCATCATGGAGGTGATGAGATCCAGAGCATTGCTGCACAGGTACTGGGGCAGCCCCAGCCCAGCCTCCTCACTCAGGAACTGCAGATTTCTTCCTCAGAGCCTCCACATCCATGTGGTAGACCTTCCCCAGAACAGTTACCAGGGATATATGCAAAGGGGACTGGGTCACCTTTCGGAGGGATGTCCCTGTGACAGGAAAGGAGGCTGACTTCTTGAACTTCATGGGAACCTGGCAGGTGCAGGGCTTCTGGGTAAACTTGGCTGAACTCATAATCCTCTGATTTCTGGGGGCAAGCTGCTGGGTACTAGGGGACCAGGACAAGTTTGGTCTCCTGCCTTGGTGAGCAGACTGGACCCAGCTTGGGGGAGGTGCCACTGATGCCTTCTGCAAGTCCTTCCACCGACTGGCGGTCAGGAAGACCATCCTCTCTGGGCCCTCCTTTGGCCACTCTGACTCCCTCTGTGCTCTCCCCGCGTCTTTTCCGGCTGGCCCAATCTCTGCTGCTGCTCCCTCGCCACCTCCTCCGTCTTCCGCTGCCGCACCTTCTCCTCGTGTTCCTGCTCCAACAGGACCCACCTCTTCGCCGCTGCAGCCACATCTCCTCTTCCTCCAACCACTGCTGCCTCTGCCTCTCCCAGCTCAGTTCCTCTCCCCAGTGCTCCCCCTGGCTCTCCAGAGCCACCTTCTTGCAGCTCTCTGGAGACAGCTGCTTCCTAAACTGGGACTTAATTTGGAGTCCTTCCTCCTCCTGAACTGCTTCCTGGAAGAAGTCCTTCTGGTCTTCGACTTTTTGGCCTGGGCTTCCTTCAACTGGCCTTTCCTATCTCTTAGGGAACTTGTGATTCACTGAGGATAGCAACACAGGCTGGAGACACTCAGTGTCCTTGCTGCTGTACACATCTGTGGTCCTGGAGTGTGTGGTCACGGTGGGAAGTGGCTGAAGGGTTGAAGGCCCAGCACCACTGTTCCAAGTGGCCATGGGACTTGGGGAGGGTGGTGAAAACAACTGCTCCACCTCCTTGGGTTCCTGTTGGGTTTCTTCCCCAACAGGAATGACTGTTTCTTTCTTAGGGGGTTCTCTTTCTCAGGGGGGCCCAGGGAGTTAATGATGATCTTGGCTAGGTCTTCTGCTTGACCTCTAGCAGACTGAGCCTTCTTCAGCTGGAATTCTAAGGCATGCTTTATCAGGAGAAGGTCATGGTACTTTTCCCCTAGAACTTCTACCTGCTTTAGTAGGGCATCCTTCTTATTCTCAAGGACCTGGAAGGGACTTTTGGAAGTACAGCCTCTGGCTGCTGAATTCTTTGGGCATCTCCATTTTCAGGTATGTGTATTTGGTCTCCAGGCTCCTGTTCTCCTTATGTTGGATGATCAAGACCTTATTGAGGTTCTTGACCACAGTGGACATGTACCTGATGGCCCTGACTTCCTCCTGGCTGAATGTGGTGGAGTCTAGGAGCTCCTGGGGCATGGACTTCACCTCGGAGACACTAGTGCAGGTAGTCTGCTTGTCCTGGAGCATGAACTCTGGGCTCAGTGGCTGGGGGTAGGATGTCAATTTTTGCAGGCTTTGTTCCTGCCAGCCCTGCCAGCCCTGCCAGAAGGTGCGTGTGGACACTAGGAGAGGTGGAGAGAAGAAAAGCAAAGGAAACAAAGTCCCCTGGGTCCCAAGGATTGTACTGATTCTCCAGACCCTGTGTGACCAAGTTCTCCTTCACCCCTCTTAGAGCTTTGGCAAGAATAAGGAGCTGGGACTATATGTGATACCAGGAGAGATGTTGTCAGGAGAGATTTCTACCAGGCTCAGAGCTTGACCAGAGCTTACCCATCAGGGCCTGCCAGCTCTATAGCACCTGCAGGGCCCTGAGGGGACTGGAATTATTCATTTTCAACTCAATTCAGCATGCTCCTGATCCTCCGTATTTCCCTAATTTTCTTCTTTCTTTTTTTTTTGAGTTCTAAAATTTATTTTGATTTTCTTAAACTCACTCACTTGTGACCAGTCTCATGTACAATGGTAAAAGCTGAAACCAGGCCAATGTCTTCATTAATGCTGCAGCTCCTCTCAGGCTTACACATTCCAGCCACAGAGGCCAAGCCTAGCATTCCACAGGGCTTATTTTTATAAGTGCAAATATCATATCTAGTAATAAGAACTCCATTATCGTAGTGTAGTTATTTTCTAATCATGCTCCTTCCCAGCCTCGGTATCTGTGTGTGGCTCCCTATTGCCAACTATCCAAACTCTGGAAGCCTACCTGGGAAGCTTTATTTCCTGTTACCCCTGGACTGTGTTTGCAGAGAATTTATCACATGGCCCTGCAACAGTTCACTTTTTTTTTCCATTTTGTGTGTCACAAACTCCTTTGACACTCAGATGAAAGCTGAGACCTTCCCCCCAGGAAAATGCACATAAACACAGATTGTGCACTGTGTTCAAACCCATTCACAGACCTCAGCTTCTCAGGGCTGGGCCATGTCATAGTTGATTCCCCTTTGGATCTACCATGTATAGGGCTGCTGGAGCAATCACCTTGGAGCATCTATTCATTTGCCCATTCAATGAACATCTCTGGCAGAAAAACACTGGCTAACTTTGGATGAAGGGCTAAAGGAAACATGGAAATTAAATGACACTGAAGTCAAGCTAGCATGTAGCCAATATTGTCAGGGGTCTATCTGGCCTAGTGGGTCAGAGCTTGGATTCCGGAATCATATAACTTGGGATTGAATCCCACCCTTACCACTTGCTTTGGTAAGTTCCCTAACTTTGAGTGCCTCTGTTTCTGAAAAATGAGGATAATTGTAACATCTACTTTAGAGGGCTTAACTGGATTATGCACAAATTTTTATTGTCATGCATGGTACCAGGTACCTAGTAAGTGCTCAACAACTAATCCCTAAAAAGAAACGAACCTACTTTGTGTCTTTTTTTTTTTTTGTCCTTCAATGAGAGCAGAGCAAATGGAAATGAGAGACTCAGTGCCTCCTTTGGTGGTGATGAGAGAGAGAGGTAAGACCTTCTCCATCATGTCGATCCATTCATCCAGGGCTTCCTCTTCCTCCTTATTCTTTCTATTCCTGATCTCATACGTCAGACTGTCATCTGGAGAGGGAGTGAGAGGAAAAGGCTGAGAACACTCTGTCCTCTAGGGAACTCCAACCAGTCCTGTAGCACAGGGTTAAACCAGCAGGCTTTGAGGTCAGATTGGTTTCCCTCTTACCAGCTGTGTGATATTGTGATTGGGCAAGTCACTTATTCTGAGTGCAAGTCACTTACACTGAGCCTCAGCATCCTTGCCTATAAAAGGGCTGGGTGAGGATCCCATGAGATAATACATGGGAAATGATTAACATGAGGCCTGCCATGTAGAAAATATGCAGTAGGTATTAATAAACAGTATTTTTGTGCTAGAAGGTCAGGGATGTGTCTGCCTTGTTATTGCTCTGTCCCCATTGCCTAGTCCAACATCTGGACAACTAAATGAATTAACTGGGGTTAACAGACCTGCTTAGTTCTTGGGGGCAGGCGAAGGACCACTGAACTGAGAGCTCCATGGGGGCAGGGCAGAGTGTGTGGGAGGGTAGGACACATTCCTATACCACCTTCTCCAACACTGAAGCAGCCACCATACCTCAAAGTAGACTGAGGTCTCCTGATGGGATAACTTTGATCTTAACCTGGTTAACCCTGGCTCCAAGGTTGTGTACAGCTGGTCCACACCCAAATGGCTATTTCAGTTGCTTACAACTGGCATCAGTGCTGTTTGGCCCAGTGCCCATGCAGTAAAGGTCATTCAGTACTTTGAATATCACCCTTGGAATCCTCTAATGTGCCCCACCAAAAAAATCCCTGTTAGAGCAAATAAACAAGTTCAGTAAAGTTGCAGGATATAAAATTAACATACAAAAATCATTTGCATTTCTATATACTAACAGTGAACTATCTGAAAAGAAATAAAACAATCCCGTTTACAATAGTATCAAGAATAACAAAATACTTAGGAATAAATTTAACCAAAGAGGTGAGGGATCTATACACTGAAAACTGTAAAACACTGATGAAAGAAATTGAAGAAGACACATGTAAATGGAAAGATACTCCATGTTCATGAATCAGAAGAATTAATATTATTAAAATGTCCATACTACCCAAAGCCATCTACAGATTAAATGCAATCCCTATCAAAATCTCAATGGCATTTTTCACAGAGATAGGAAAAACAATACTAAAAATTCACATAGAACAACAAAAGACCCCAAATAGCAAAAGCAATCTTGAGAAAGAAAAACAAAGCTGGAGGCATCATGTGGCCTGATTTTAAGCTATATTACAAACCTACAGTTATCAGAACAGTAATGGTACTGGCATAAAAGCAGGTACACAGACAATGGGAACAGAATAAAGAGCCCAGAAATAAACCCAGGCATATGCAGTCATGTGGTCACTAGTGTTTCACAGTGGGTAAAGGACAGTCTCCCAATGAGTGATGTTAGTAAACCTTGACATTCACATGCAAAAGAATGAAATTGGACTCCTATCTTATACCACTCACAAAAAGTTACTCAAAATGGATTAAAGACTTAAACGTAAGACGTGAAACCATAAAACTCCTAGAGGAAAACATAGGGAAAAATACCTTGACCTTGGTCTTGGCAATGATTCTTTGGATATGGCACCAAAAGCAAAAATAAAGAAGTGGGGCTACATTAAACTAAAAAGCTTCCACACAGCAAAGGAAACCATCAACAAAAAGGCAACCTGCTGAATGGGAGAAAATATTTACAAATCATATATCTAATAAATGGCTAGTACCCAAAAAATAAAAAGAACTCATACAACTCAATATCAAAAAACCCAAACAATCCAATTAAAACATGGGCAGAGGATCTGAATAGACATTAAAAAAAAAAGGCCTAAAAATGGCCAAAAGATGCATGAAAAAGTGTTCAACATCACTAATCATCAGGGAAATACAAATCAAAAGCACATATCACCTTATACCTGTTGGGATAGCTATTATGAAAAAGACAAGATAAAATGTGTTGGTTCAGACCTAGAGAAAAGGGGACACTTGTGCACTGTTTGTGGGACTGCCAATTGGCATAACCATTTTGGAAAGCAGTATGGAGGTTCCTCAAAAAATTAAAAAATAGAATTACCATATGATGTAGCAATCCGACTTCTGAGTATATATCCTAAGGAAATGGAATCTACATGCCCAGATTCATTGAAGCATTATTCACAAGAGCCAAGGCAGGGAAACAACCTAAGTGTTTGTCAATGGATGAATGAATAAGGAAAATGAAGTACATACAATGAAATATTATTTAGTCATAACAAAGAAGGAAATCTTGCTATCTGTGACAACACAGATGGAACCTTAAGGGTATTAGCCTAAGTGAATAAGTCAGAGGAAGACAAACATTGTATGTGGAATCTAAAAAAGGTGAATTCATAGAAACAGAGAATGGATTAGTGGTTACCAGGGGCTGAGAAGTGGGGGAAACAGGAATATGCTGGTCAAAGGGTATAAACTTTCAATTAGAAGATAAGTAAGTTCTGGGGATCTAGTGTACAGCATGGTGACTATAGTTAACAATACTGTATTATGTCCTTGAAATTTGCTGACACTAGACCTTAAATGTTCTCACTATGAAAAGAAAGGATAACTATGTGAGGTGATGGATATGTTGATTAACCTTACTGTGATAATCATTTCATGATAAATACATATATCAAATCATCATTGTTCACTTTAAATTTACATACTTCTTGTCAATTGTATCTTAATAAAACCGGAAGAATAAAGAATAAATGAAACAGCTGGTATGGGTTTGAATTTAGCTGCTATCTTGCTAAAAAAATGAGATGTTGTAATGGACCTGTGACTTAGGCTGCATCACATATGCAGCTAATGTCACAATCTATTCCATTTTTTTTATAATTACATTTGCCCCTCTGGGGAGTGGAGGAGAGGTGCTGGCATGAATGAGAATGTTTCACTGGAGAGGCACTGCTTCCTCTGCACCTGCCACGGCATTCTGCTCCCAGCAAATGCTGCCCTAGGGAGAGGAAAGGAGGAGATTATGTGAGCTGGAACCAGCACCTCGGTGGGGAAGGCGTCCCCCGGACCCAGGACTGCACCCAGCCTGCAGACTCACCCCAGTCAGCCAGCCAGTGGAGAATCTTATACAAGTGCTTCTCTTTCGTCTTAGCATCTTTGGAGGAGGCAATTTTCGCCAGCAAGACAAATCTTTTCTTGCCTCTTTTCTCCATCTGATGAGATTTTGTCTTTTCTTTTAAGTCATATCCTAATTCTTCCTGGAAGCGGTTGATGACACAGTTGACATTGTCCAAGATGTCTGAGAGCTGGGAAGAAATATCCTATGTGGGAAACAGCAGATTGTAGTGTCTAGCGGTATGATCTCTGGAGCCTGATGCCAGGTCCTAGTAGTATGATCTTAGACAAGTCAGTTAACCTCCTGGGGCCTCAGTTTTCTTATTTGCAAAGTGAGGATCATTTTAGTACCTACGTCACAGAGTTTTTGTAAGGACTAAATGAATTAATTTTATAAAGCACATAAAGTAAGCATTAGCACTTATTACTGTCATTTTGATTATTAAAATCAGGTCAGGAAGAGAGAGAATGATAAAAATCCACAGCAATTATTTCTTCAGAATTACAGAATTTTCTGGGGACTTCTGGATATCTCTCCTCATAAGGATCCAGAGGCAAAAGACTGAAAAAATGAGGCCCTAAGAGACCCTCAGGATTTAGGGGCTCCCATAAAAAAAAGTACTAGAGGCTCATGTGAAAGGCTATAACCGCCTCTGGCCATTTCCCTATAAGCAGCTAGGACTCAGCTTGGGGGATTCTGACTGGTTGCCAAAAACAGGCCCCGAGTTGTGAACTCTGGGCCCTCATCCTGCCTTGCTAGGACCCAGCACTGTGTGTCTCAGGGCCATCCTGGGTCTTCCCTGTGACCTGTTCCCTTCCTGGGCCCAGCCCTACCTCAGGGGGGTGGATCCCAGCTCACCCTGCACAGGCCAAGTCTAGCACATAGACATTTTTTTTTTTTTTT